ATTGTCATGAGAAAGAGAAAAAGATGATGGATTGGAGGGATCAGGAATGTAAAGTTCATCTATATTAATGTTTTTTTGATGTTGTCTGTATCGAGAAAAGAAGTATGCTGAGGATTTCTCCCCTTCTTCAAACCAACGTACATGAGATCTAATGGCAAGGGAGATTGTTTGTTTGTGCTGGAGTTTATAAAGGGTTTTTTTGAGATGAATTATTTTAGTATTATCAGGATGAGGAGCATTTTGAAGTTTAACTATCCTATTAGAAAGATTTGTAATGGCTGATCTAGTTTTTTTAGAAAAGGATGTGGATATAGAATGATAATAGGTGGAAATTTCTTGTTTGCATAAATCCCAATCTAAAGGAGAGGTTGGAGGAGTATGTGAAAGAAGAATATGGGAGATATTGTCTTGTACTTCACTGTTACTAAGATAGGATGTGTTCATTTTCCAATGAAGTGGTGTTGATTGAGGAACAGGAGATTGTTTAATGATAACTGCTCTATGATCTGAGAAGGAAACAAAGTGAGTGAAAGAAGAGTGGGTAGGTTTAATAAGAGAAGGGGATAATAAAATGAAATCAATACGAGATTTTGATGCATATGAAGAGTAATTTCTAAAGAATGTAAATTTAGGATATTGTGAAGAAGAAGCTAGATCAACCAGGTTAGGAAAGTGAGTAGACATAAGGGATGAAAATGGAGAGTGAAATGTGTTAGAGTTTGAATTCCAATGATCTTTTATAGAAACAGTAGTATTGAAATCACCAGCTACAATAATTGGAGAAGAGGGAATAGGAGGAAATGAATGCCAGAAAGAACGGTTAAGAGAGAAATTTGCAGGAGCATATATGTTTCTCAAAGTAAAAGATAAAGAAGATGAAGAAATAGAAATGTCCATAATGCGTTGATCTGAAGAAGTGAAAAGGAGAGTAGATTTAAAGTTGTGAGATATAAGAGTGACAAGGTGCTTAGAGAAGTAGATCTGGCCTGACCATAATTGAGAGAGACATGATTGTTCAAAGGAACTTAGAGGAAAAGAAGAGGATGTAAAGGTTTCTTGTAAGCATATTGCAATAGGGTGAAAAGATTTAAAAGTGTGAATAATTGAAGAAAGCTTATT